GCTAGGGGGACCAGTGCGGAGGGATAAAGGTGGGGGCTCTGTCCACGCTGAGCACGGACTGCAGTCCAGGCGGGGCTTGGCCCCGGGATGCAAAGACAGCAAGATACACACTCTGCCACCCAGCAGCCCACAGTCGGGGGTGTGATGTTCGTGTTGGGGAAGAAGACCCGGGGAGTCAGAGGCACCTGCCAGGGGTCCCACTGCCAGGAAAGTGTCCTTTTGTGCAAGCAGGAGTCTCCTCCGGAGAGCTGCTCTGGAGAGCAGGAAACGAAGGAAACAAAAGAGGCAAAGATGGCAAACATGCTGTGGGGGGTAATGGACAGATACAAGCTAAGGCCAGAAAAACGAGGGCTAACTCTGAACCCTGACTGTCACTGGCCAGGGCGGGGGTTGGGACAGAATTCTTCAGGCTCTGATCTCCTTAACCAGGCAAGGCTCCGCGACGATTAGGAATAAGCTTACGGAATAAGCTTACCGTGTACGGGGCCTGACCCCGGGAGAGGACATGGAGAGGCAGTTTTGGCTCTTAACATGGCGGTGGGGAGGGCTCGGTCCTGCTTGTGCACAACTGGAGGGCGTGAAGGGCACCCAAGGGTGCACCAACTTCAAACCTGAGTCACTGATTTCCAGGCTGACTTGGCGTTATCCACACAAACACCCTCTGCCGAGGAGGTAGGAACTCAGGGCAACTCTGTTGGACAATGGTGGGCTCCTCTGGCATCCCTGGGCCCTGGGCCTTTTGGCTTTTATCCCTCGAGTTGCTCCCAAGGGAGGTTTCAGCTCTTCGCCAGCACCGTGGCATCCCATCACTCTGACCAACTCCAGTACTCAGCGGCCACTTTCAGTGTGAAAATTCAGCTGCGGGTGGTGACTTGCACTGAAGAGGGTTAAATTAGTGTTTTGGGGAGAGGGATGCATGCGTCATACACTCTGCTTTGGAACAGATGGAAGCTGAAGCCGGGGCTCCCATGTCTCATAAAGGAAGGCCCCAACCCCGAGGTGACCATGCTGGCGGCCAAGAGCCTGGGCCCTCTCCGTGTCCCTGGCGATGCACGTGACCGTGGAGGAAAAACTAGTTCTAGATCCCTGGGAAAAACACACAAGAAATGAGATGCCACGTCCCACTTATTTGACCCTGAACTCTCATAACCTGTTTTTCTGCTCTTCCTTATTTTATAAGCATCCGTTCGAACTTTCTCCTGCTGTCACACCCGTGGCCCTCAGGCCTGGACCTGCCTTCTCACGTCTCCCTGCCCCTCCAGATGCCTGCACACTGGTCCCAGCTCCTCCACACAAGAGCTGAAACAGGTTGCTGCTCTCTCAAACCAGCCTCGTGGAGCTAAGGAGCTTTGTCTATAAATTCAAGACAGAGAATAAGGCCTGGAGCTCACTGTTGACCTGCCAAATAATTTCTAAGTATAGAAAAGAGATTTCTAAACACCATCCAGTGACACAGAGAGAGAGAGAAAGAAAATGAAACAGGGTGCACAGTCCACAGGCATCTGGTTCTTGGGTGGAGATGATATTTTTAGAGTTGTGTCTGGAGGCCTGGGGGAGAATCTATGTTTACTCCTTTCTGTCCAAAAGAGGGTTTACTGAACAGACAAGAATCCCAGGTGGTTGAGACCACCATCAGACACAGCCTGATGCAAGGAGTGCATTTGGGGTTTTAGGCTCTATGTCAGATGTAAGATACATGAAGATTAAGAACACTGAAATTCACCCAGTAAGGGTAAGATGGTGTTGGTTGATCCCATATGAAGTGATGGGATCACTTATTACCTGCAGGGGCACATAACTCCGATGACCGTGGGACCAGGGGACTGCAGATGGAGGGCAGGGGCTCCCAAGGAAGACAGGACAGTTTCTGGGTGAGGAGGGAGCCAGGCACGACTAAGGACCCCACTCACGCACAGACACACGTGGCCTCTCTGCTGACGGGCTTTAAGGAGACACGAGGCAGAGATGAGCAGGGGGTGAGTCATAAGGCCGCCCTGCCTGTGGTGATGTGGATGGAAGCTGTGACACGCCGACTGGGCCTCCAGTCCTACCACGAGGCCAAATCCCAGTATCCCTCCCACCTCTTTGGGGGCTGGCAAGGAGCCTGAATCTCAGTTGAAGGGGTCCAGGTTCCTGTTGACTGTGCAGTAAGAAGCCCTACAAGCCTCAGGAAGCCCCTACCCCAGACCCAGCTCCCCAGCCCCCCAGAGCAGAGGCCCAGCCTGAGTCCTTCCACCAGCACAACTGCCTCACATTTTACATCTTCTCCTCTGAAAATATGGTCAATAACCACACCATAGCATAGAAACAGGAGCCTTAGAAAGGGAATCTCAGGGCCCTGGGGTGAGCCCCTGGGGAGGCCGTATGCACAGCTGACCCCCAGCCAGCAGGTGTCCCAATGGAAGCGCTGGCCTCAAGTCTCTGCTCCTCCTCCCGCGTCCTTCCAGCCCCTGGAGGGAGTGAACCGAGGGTCCCCCAACCTCCTTGCGCCCCAAGGACCGGGTGGCTCAAGAAGGGGCAGCCTGACTCTCTCCTGTCCTCTTGGGCTCACTCAGCAGCTTCACTCTCTCTGGTTCTTTCTCCCAGGATCCTGGAGGCTACAGGGTTAGAAGTACAAAGTTGACTTTAAAGCAACTGCAGGGATGACAAGGGTTACTTCGTAGTGATAATTGATAACACACAGACAGTTGCCCACTTGGGGCTGTTCAGCATTGTTGATGGTGCACAATGCTCTTACAACATTCTTTCTTTAATATTTATTTATTCAGCTGCATCGGGTCTTAGTTGCAGCATGCCAGCTCTTCATTTCACCATGTGGGATCTTCCGTTGCGGCGCACAGACTCTCTAGTTGCAGTGCACAGGCACAGTTGCTCTGAGGCACATGGGATCTTAGTTTTCCGACCAGGGATCGAACCCAGGTCCCCACTGGGAACCTTTGCAAGGTGGATTCTTGCTTGGCAAGGTGGATTCTTAACCACTGGACCACCAGAGAAGTCCCTCTTATCAACATTCTTGCATTTAAATCAAAATTGTTTTGAATATGATCAATTGACCAAGAAGATATAATTTTTTGTGTCTAATAACCTAGATTCAAATATATGTGTGTGTGTGCTCAGTCATGTCCAACTCTGTGCAACCGTATAGACTGTAGTCCACCAGACTCCTCTGTCCATGGGATTTCCCAGGCAAGAACACTGGAGTGGGTTGCCATGTCCTCCTCCAGGGGATCTTCCCAATCCAGGGATCACACTCATGTCTCTTGCGTCTCCTGCCTAGGCAGGTGTATTCTTTACTGCACCAATGATGATTTGAATCACCACCTGGGAGATTCAAATATATAAAGCAATGAATAAATAACAGACAAATCTACAAACACATACAGTGATTTTGACCTATTTTCATAATTAACAAACATAAAAATCAGCCAGGATATAGATTTGGACAAGCCAGATATCTCTTTGAAAAACAACTTGGCATTATCTTTAAAATCACAGACATGCAAACCCAGAACTCCCAATTTGCGAGGTACAACCTGCAGGGAAACGACATGTGTGACTCATACACAAAAATATTCACAATAGTGCTGCTCGCTGCCAACGGCCTCGTGCAACAGCCAATTCCCATCCACAGTCAAATGAGTAAGTCACTGGGGTATATTCACCAGAGAGAATCCTACATGGCAGTAGAACCAGAGGACTAAGTCTGCACAGAACAGCGTGGGTGAATCTAAAAGCGAGAATGCTGGGATAAAGGAACCAAGTAGGACTTCACTCCTACACAGTTCAGAAAGAGTCAAAGCTCACGTGCCGTTGTAGTGTAGTCAGGTGGGTGGTCATTCTGAGGGGTCAGAGGTTAACTAGAGAGAGGCACACGGGGGTCTCCTAGGTATTAAACTGTACATATATTTGGGTTGGCCAATAAGTTCATGTGGGTTTTTCTATTACCACCCAAATGGCCTCACTGGCCAACTCGATACTGTCATAGCAACTTCAGGTATGTTGGCTATTATTTGGGACTTCCCTGGTGGCTCAGATGGTAAAGCATCTGCCGACAGTGCAGGAGACCGGGGTTCAGTCCCTGGGTCGGGAAGATCTGGAGAAGGGCATGGCAACCCACTCCAGTCTTCTTGCCTGGAAAAATCCCATGGATGGAGGAGCCTGGTGGGCTATGGGTTCGCAAAGACTCGGACATGGCTGAGCGACTTCACTTTCACTTTCAAAAGCAACATTTTTCAAACTTAAGGAAAGCTGGATGGAGAGGCCCTGGGAGCTGTCCGGCCCAGAGCAGCTCTGCCCTCTCCTCTGTTCCCTTCAGACTTTTCCTACTCCTCCCTGCCCTGCCACCGCCCAGCCGACCCCCAACACCACACCCTCCCCCACCGTCGTCTCCCACCAGGAAAGAGGCAGCTGTGGGTTGGGAGGCAAGGCCCAGATGGTCTGGGTTCTGGGCCCTGACCTACCTCCAGCCGGGAAAAAATAAGTCCTCACAGGGCCACACTAGTCCATAAGAACCCACTTGGGATTTCCTCCTTGTAAAAAGCACACATCTGCCTTCATCTTCCCTGTCTTGGGCTTATCAAGGGCAAGAAAGGGATATGTTGGAGCAAATTTCAAACATTTCAGATCTTCAACCTTTTGGCATCATCTGTTCCCAAAGTCCAGTACCGAGGTGCAGAGGCAGAAATGACAGAAAATTAAAGCCAGGCAGGTGGGGTGACATCTCTGAAGATGTCAAGTGCCTCCCATGCTCAGCAGAAGCACCTGGTCCCCAAGAGTGACCCCACTCAGGGTATTTCCCGTCCACGATGGGGACCCAGCCAGGCCCAGAGGCTTCCAGAAATAATTCTTCTTCTTCTTTTTTTTAATAGATTGTTGACACCTGTATATAAAACAGATTCCTATAAACAGACATTTTCCAAAAGCTTTCCAACCACAGGGCGTCTACCTAAAGCCTGAGAAATGTAAGCCTGGGGCTTATTTTCCCTCCACGTGGGAACCAGGCCGAGCAGCAGCCCCTGCGGCGCCGCCAAAAATGGGCAAGAGCGGCGGGCGCACCTCCCGCCCCCTCGGCTACGGAGGCCTGAGGCCGGAGACAGACGGAAAGGAGGCTTCGCCTCTGGCCTTCTGCCTTGTGATGAAAAAGTCCGCAGTCTCCACTCCCCGCCTCACCCGGCGCCCCCTGCCCCTCGCTGCTCCCCCCCCCAGCGCTCCCCTCCCCCGAAGCACCCCGCCCCCCCAGCACCCCTGTCCCTTCCCTAAGCTCCCTGGCCCCCTCCCTCCTGCGTCCATCAGGCCACTGGTAGAGGGTCACTCCCTCCACCGCCACCTGCTCCTCTCCGCTGCCGCCCTGGGCGTCCTGCCTCCCTGCTGTCCTCCTCAGCATCACTGCTCAGCCCTGTCTGGCCCATTTCTGGCTTTTTGCTTCCACTTTTAACCCCAGCCACCCATCCCACCGGCTTCCCTGCTGGCCCAGAGGGTCAAGAATCCGCCTGCAAAGCAGGAGACACAGGTTTGATTCCTGGGTTGGGAAGATCCCCTGGAGGAGGACATGGCAACCCACTCCAGTATTCTTGCCTGGACAATCCCAGGGTCAGAGGAGCCTGGTGGGCTACAGTCCATGGGGTCACAAAGAGTCCAGGAAGGACTGAGCGACTAAGCACAGCAGAGCACAGCACCCCCCTACACCCCACGCCGACCTCAGTTCTCCATGCAGTAGCAGAGCGTCTTTTTAAAATTGGAAATCAGGGACTTCTCTGGTAGTCCAGTGGTGAGGACTCTGCACTTTCATGGCAAGAGGCACAGGTTCAACCCCCTGGTTGGGAACTAAGATCCCATGTGCCCTGCTCAGCCAAAAAAACAAAAAAAAACCTGGAAATCAGACCTAGCCAGGCTCCTCCCCGACGTGGCTTCCCTCATTTTCTGGATAAGGTCCAAAGTCAGCCCCCCATCCCCACCCCACCCCCGTGACAGGGCCCTGCCTGTCCTCCTCCTTCCTTAGTCCCCATCTTCCAACCTGCTCTCCAGACTCCAATACGTCCAGCTAAGGCCGGGCTGGGGGTCTTGCCTCTGGCCCCCCTGCCTCTCCAGTCTCCCTTTAAGATGTCCAGGTGGCTCCCCTCAGATTCCCTCTCTGCTCTCATGTCCCCTCATGACACAGCCCTTCCCTGCCCCTGCCTCTTCACCGCATCCCAGGGTCTGCGCTCCTGTGCGGTCCACACACGTATATGACATCACAGGTATGTTTCACAGGCCTGTTTCCTGCTGTGGCCTGCACTAGAAGGTACATTCTGCACCAGGGACTTGTTGGTCTGAATCAATTACTTCTTCATTCCCAGAGCTAACAACGTTGACACATAGTAGGCTCTCGATAAATACGTAGATGAACCAAGGATTTAAAAATTATATAAATACTTTCAACATTTTATCTTAAAACACATACATGGTAATTTACTTGCCAATATTTTGACCCAGGGCTGAAGTCTTTCTTTGAGTGATGCCCTCACTGGGAAATCTTGCTGTCTCGCTCTTTGCGTAAATCACGTATGTAATGAATTATCTACAATTTCGGATTTTGTTTTCTTTAAAGGGGTTGGAAATCTTAAAGACTGTTGAAAAACAATTTCAGTACAGAATCCTTCTGTTCTTAATTTCCCCCGGTGTCCCCTACACCTAATTTAAAGCAAATATTGTTACTGTTATTGCATCTTTTCAGATCATTCAACTGAGCTTTCAAAGAAGCAACTCTCCCTTCCAAACTCATTATATTTATATACGTAATATATAATTGACTTATGTAGTAGGTAATCACATGTCTTAAGCATATTATCATGAACTTCAGGCATCAGCTGATTTAGGAATAAACAAAGCTCCCCTCAAAGGTATGCAGATGAGTTGGAGAGATTCCAGGTTCATTTGCACCTGCCAGCCAGTTTGCTCTAGTGAGACTTCGAGCAGAGGTGGAAGACTCCTTCTGTAGAATGCAAGTCCCTGAAGCAAGCACATGGCCGTTGTGATGGAAACCAGTCTGGCGCCATGGGAGAGAATCAGAAAAGCAACCTGAGGGCAGCGAGATGGAGTGAAGGGGCTTCCCACGTGGCTCAGTGGTAGAGAATCCACCTGCCAATGAAGGAGACTCAGGAGACGTGGGTTTGGTCCCTGGGTCAGGAGGACCCCTGGAGAAGGAAATGGCAACCCACTCCAGTATTCTTGCCTGGAAAATGCCATGGACGGAGGAGTCTGGCGGGCTACTGTCCATGGGGTCGCAAAGAGTCAGACACAAATGAGCGAGTGAGGATGCTCACACAAGGTTACTGAGGAGTAAATGTGAAGTATGTCAGGGGTCTGGTTCAGTAAACGTTAGTTCCCTTATTCAACTCTTCAGTAGTCTATGAGGAACCCTGTGTTTTCATGGCTGTGTACTCAATCAAATTATGAATTCCCTGTATCTGCAAAGTAAATTTTAATAACATAGTAGTACTTCTCTTGACCTGTCTGCACATTGCCTACACTTGTCTCCTACGTACCGATGGGAAGGTTAGCCTCAACTGTGGGTCTCCTGTCCCCACGCTCCTGGTCTGGTCACTCACTGACACCCTCTTCCAAAGGACCCCCCTGGGGTCCCAGCCCGGTGGGTTCACACACACACGCACACACCTTGGTCATGGGAAGTTTTCTCCCCTCCCACCTTCTCAGATGTGTGGGCCTCAGAAGCTCCTGGGCTCTGGCCCGCCATCCCACAACTCAGTTCAGATGTAGGATCAGTCATGAGCTCTAAAAGCAAAGCTAAATGTTTATCATCCTTCAGGTAAAATTTTCACTGCAGCTTTCAAGGCGATTTTCAAATCCTGCTTGGGAATGAGGAGGGTGGAGTTTGAGGCCCACATCTGTCCCTCTGGGGCGTGTGTTTATGACACCCGTTTTCATCAGACAAGAGCTACCAACCCCCCCGCCCTGCCCTAATGAATGGAACCACAGTCATTGTGACGAGGATGTGAACCAGTTCTGCTGTTTTGACTCCCGTTCTGGAGTCCTTTACTGAATGACCTGATAATCTGTCGCTTAGTCACTCAGTCATGTCTCTTTGCGACCCCATGGCCTGCAGCACACCAAGCTTCCCTGTCCTTCACTATTTCCCAGAGTTTGCTCAAACTCCTGTCCATTGAGTCAGTGATGCCATCCAACCATCCCATCCTCTGTCGCTGCGTTCTCCTGCCCTCAATCTTTCCCAGCATCAGGGTCTTTTCCAATGAGGTGGCTCTTCGAATCAGGTGGCCAAAGTATTCGAGCTTCAGCTTCAGCACTTCCAATGGTCCATATAGTCAAAGCTATGGTTTTTCCAGTAGTTATATAAGGATGTGAGAGCTGGACCATAAAGAAGGCTAAGTGCCAAAGAATTGATGCTTTTGAATTGTGGTGCTGGACAAGAGTCTTAAGAGTCCTTTGGACAACAAGGAGATCAAACCCTGGAAATCAACCCTGACCATTGCTTAATTTGACATTTCAACAGTGCTCCCATCAGGTCCACTCCAGACTGGCCATGACCTTACAGAAACATAATCTAGAACTTCAAAGGAGTCCTAACACAGGCCCCAAACTGGATGATTAGAACCACCTGGGAGCCTTTGAGAATGAGCTTTCTCAATGCCAGCAAGTTGAGATTGTCCAGAATTGGAAATGACTTGTCAGTAGAGTGGGATGGTTTTTCTTGCTCTTGAAAGTTTTGCTTATTTAAAAACAATTTAGAGAAATGAAGTGTTCACTAAGTTCTGCATCAGTTTCATTATAGGCAAATCCTTGACATCAAGTGAGGAAATTTAAGGAAGGAACCCATTATAAAGGTGGATTCTAAGTGGCTTACTTGGTAAGGCTGGTGGCTCAGATGGTAAAGAATTGCCTGTAATGCAGGGGTCCAGGGTTCGATCCCTGGGTGGGGAAGATCCCCTGAAGGGAATGGCTACCCACTTCAGTCTTTTTGCCTGGGAAATCCCACGGACAGAGGAGCCTGCTGGGGTTATAAAAAAGAGTCGGACATGACTAAACAAACGCCTAATACTTCACTACTATTTCACTTTCATAGTAAGTGGCATATGACGAACAGCGTGAGCTTGTTTCTTCAGCAATCAGATCCATAGTGGCTGCTTGAGAGAGAATTCCTAAGAGCACTGCAGAACCCTCTTTAGGAACCAAGGGGTTAAGAGCTTGGCAGTGAACTTATACCTAGTTGACACCTTCCAGATGAGTGACTTTGGAGAGAGTCACTTAACCTTGGCGAGACCTAGTTTCCTTTTTTTTGTATCATGACCTCTCAGACACTGTCTTCAAGCTACCTTTTTAAAAAATGTAAAATGCTGAGTATAGAGCCTATCACACACTCAACTCAAAAATAATGGGTTATTTCAGCAGACCTGGAGATTTTTAAAAATGGTTGATAGCTCATCATAAAGAACAGACCAATGAAGAAAGGTGGAGAGGGTTTCAAATAACTTACACACAAGCACCGAATGACACAGGAAGGTGGAAGAAGCGAGGGGCGCTCATGGCTTTTCAACAGTCTGCGAAACACTCTCTTGAATACAGACAATGTCATTTACCCGAAGTTCAGTAAGTTACAGGTGTTTATCTCAGGTCCTCAGGCGGCTGGCTCCCGGTTACTGTGTTTAACTCTGAGAACTCTCCTTCAGAGACTCGAAGGAGAGTGCTGCCTGGCCAGACTTCCCAAGAACCATGGGGATCAAGAAACAGCAATTTTTAAGTCACTCAACAGAGGACCAGGCTTCGTCTCAAGTTCACGTGATCATTTTACAGGAGCAAGTACGCCTGTGGGAGGGAGAATGGGGTGTTAGGAACAGTGACTGCAAAGGTATCTTGCCCTCTAAGATTCTATGATACGAAATTTAAATTTTTAAACTTGGGATTTGGGGAAAGACAACACCACTAAATAAAGACCAATACATGCACGGTGTGTGCTGAATAAGCCCAGGCACGGATGGAACGCCGGTTTACGCTCATGTGATGCATTCTGGGAAAATTTCTTTGGGCGACAGGAGTAGTAAACTTTTGAGGAAAAGCAGTAAGACAGCACCCACAGTGTATACTTCTAATCTGTAAATGCATTTTAAGGAGGAAAAACAAAAAACACACGAAACCCCACAGGCACAAATAGACCAACTTTAATAGATATTATTTTGTATTTATATAGCGCCTTCTTCGAGAACCTTAGATGCTTTACAGACATTGTATCTAATTAATCCCCACAACAACCCTGTGAGGTAGGTATTACTCCCATTTTACAAGATAGGGAGACTGAAGCACACAGAGGTTAAGTGACTTGCCCAAGGTCACACAATTAAATTCACTGAAGAGCCAGGACCTGAGCGCCTTAGCCTCCCGGCTCCCAGCTTAAATACCTCATGAGAGAAATCTTCAATGAAAAAGTAGCTTTAAAGAAAGTATCAAGAGTAGTATGTTATGGAAGTGAGGTCTTTCTACTGCCATCAAGGAAAGGAAAAACTACACGGATGGTTAGAGGCGACGAGACCCATATATTACACACCACCCCCCTCTCTTTGCCTAGAGTCTCAGGGCTCCTGTCTCTGGCCAGCTTCTAAAGGTACCGCTGCCAAGGCAGAAGCCATGTGACTTAGAAGTGAGACTTAATTTAGAATATTTACTTTCAGTTACAATAATTCATAGATATTCTTATTCCAATACACAAAATGTGGGACAGCCATCCCAACAAACATGTACACAGTTAGACAGCAATCACCACCGTGTACAAGTGAAACCCGCCTCTCCTTTCAGTTGGTCAGCCAACACACAACCTCATGTCGCTTTCTAGACGCATCCCTTTTCTCCCTCTGTCTGCATTTCTCCCCCTAGCCCTAAACCCTCCGTGTTTTTAAAGCATACTGCGTTTCTGAGAAGCTTGGAGACATTACACACAGATGCAGCTGCACTTAAGAGGACAAAGTAAATGGAGAACCATCATGTCATTGTCCCGCCCCTGACAGGTCGTCCTATTGAACAGGGTGTAGATGTGAACAGTGTGCGACTACCATGGAACTCAAGAAAAACGTGAGAACTTGCTTTCATAGAAAATTTAACCTTGGCTTTTACTTTACTGTACTTTTTTAAATGCATAATGTAGTTTACAAACACAACACAGTATCCCAACACTGTACCTTTATGCAAATGACTTCATCTATCTTTCTTCTACATGCTGCGGCCCAATTCAAGTCAAAGCTGGTTCAGCTTCAGGTTACTCCTCGTCTCTGGACTGAAAGCTGCAGACATTCAGCTTTAAATTACAAGACGATTTGGCTGAAGCCCTCAAAGCAAAAAAAAATGTATGCACCTCCAGAGCTCTGAGCTTGCCCGCATTCTTGGTTGTGATTCTCTGAGCCACATTGGTAGATTGGGCAGGCCATGTAATTTGTACGAAACCATCCCAGCCAGGGGTAAGGCTTTAGAAACTGTTATCTGCAAAAGCAATCTGTCAGAAGACATCATCATTTTCTCCCGGCACATTTATTTCAACAGCCCAATTAGCTAAGTGACCCTGTTAAAGATCTATTCGTGGAACGAATAGGTGAAGTCATTTCCTGAGCTAAAAGATACAGATAATAAATGTTAATAATAGCAGCAGACAAAAACATTCTTCTTTGTTGCTTTTTTTTTCAGATTCAACAGTATTAGTAAAATAAGTTTAGAAAATTACAGCAATTTAAAAAAAAAAAAGATTACTGCCTGAAAAAGACTTGGATAAAGAACATCTAAGACCTGATTGCTATTATCTTGAATATATATTCAATTATTTTCTGCAAGTTACATTCGGCCACTGTCAGACAACTTACTGATGTATAGGAAAGTGTCAACTGCAATGGTTTACATACATCTTACATCACGCATGTCACTTCTTGAAACTCCCAACAGAATGAAGTCTTTACAAACACAAAGTTAAAATTTCTAAACACTCTTCCTGTAAGATCTGTAAAGGTGGAAGGGGGGTAAAAAGGACTTGCTTTCAAAGTACTCCTGGTTGACCTCATTAATGCACTCCTCACAGGGTCTGTCAGCTCCCCAGAAAGGCTGGGGTTGGGATGGTCACTTCTTTCCAGAATAAAGAACATCTGAAAATAACATAACTGCTGTGACATGAGTTTTCCAAACGTGGCCTCAGCCTGAAACAGAGAACTGAAGAACCCTCAAGACTAGCACACCACTACCGCACCAGGATTTCTTCCATCATTCCACAACAATAGGGAATTTTTTTATTTTTTTTTTAATTTTACTGAAATTAAAGCTGAATAAAACTTACAACCAGGAACAAATATTTAGAGCCAGAGATATCAGTTCCTCCTGGAAAAAGAATAATTTACCTTCTCTCACTGCAATTTTTATTAGGGTAACTTATGATTTAAAATAGTTTAAAAATTCACCTTAAAAATAAAAACAAACGAGAGGATTCATTAAACTGACAAAAACTAATAAAAATATGCTCAAATTTACCAACAGAATCATGGGCACTTCATACAATACTTAGACTCTACCAGTTTTAAGTAAAATAAATAAGGAAAAAAATTATAATTACAAAGCCAGTCTTTCCCCTTGGGGAAACAAAAAGCCACTTTTGACCAATTGTTCCCTAGATATACATATACTGTATATGATTATAAGCTTCTTCAGAGAAGCAAACGTATTTGCCTTCCTGACACTGGATTCTAGTATCTGTTAAGTCTCTTTACATCAGGAAGGCGACTGCAAGTGTTGGGCCCAAAAAGCATTTCTGGTTTACGCTCGAAAAGACTACCCAGTGTTCTCTCTCTACGTGTCCAACCCAGGCGCGCACGTGTGCGGCATGTTCAGCGTGTTCAGCATCACCTCCTGCCACCGTCAGTATAACCTCGCACAGACTCCCGTTCTCTCTGCTGCACCCCCAAGGAGCTCAATCACTACTGGTGCAATGAAGGAAGAGAAAATGCATGTCGGTTACTGGAAGGCTGTTTTACAAGAGGAGCTGGTATCTCTGATTTCACTGCCTTGTGCGGAACTGCACAGACAGCATGATACCTGAGCGAATCAATCAACTACCAGGATAGGAAGAGCGTGTTAACCCACGGTCTTTGCTTTATTGTGTGCAAAGTGTGCTGCTGCCCCCCCTGAGCTTCCTGCAGTTCTCTTTTCTTGGAAAAATCGGTGCTTGATCCTCTCCCAAATAACCAGAGAAGAAATGAGGCAGAAAGTCTCTTTTCATCGCAGTTCCCTCAGTCCCGGGACTGATAGAAAAGGATGTAGCCAGACTCAGAGTTCTTCGAGATATCTGATGTTAACCCGTAGAATTCTTCAATAGCTTGTGCATCTATTTTCTGCGAGGGAAAAAAACAAACGTCAGTACAAAAATGAGCTCTTTGGACTACTGGAATCCAGTAAAAGCGTCAACCTTTCTTAGGATAATGTCTTTCATTTTCTCATTTGTAAAACAGCTCTGCACAATCAGAATGGCTTGGATGATGCCCAGTATTGGTGAGAACGTGGAACAAACGGAACTCTCATTCACAGCTGAGAGTGCAAAACAGCACCAGACACAGACAAGATGCTTTTATCTTCTAAGCCTGAACATACCCTGTGACCCAGCAATTCTATTCCTAGGTACAGGCCAAACTATAAGAAACAACTAATTGAAAAAACAAACAACAAAAAAAAGAAACAACTAATTGTCAACCATTTGGGATCTATGAATATGCCAATTTCATAAGGTCCAATCTAATATATACTCAAGAAAAAAATAAATGCATATGACCAGTGAAAGACTTATACAAGGGTAACCAAGGCAGTTTCATTTTAATAATCATTAATGGACAAAAAGCCAAGTTTCTAACATGGTACATTTGTACAATGGAAAATTAGATAGCAATATTAAAAAAAAGAACTACTACTGCAGGTAACAAGAATGAACTGCATAAATATTAATGAGTGAAAAAATAGACCAAAGAAGTCATACTGGATGAGTCCACTTGTATTCAAACATAGACAAAATTAACCCCAGTAAGATAATAAAATTAGAAACAGTGGGTTCCAGGGGATGGGGGATGGGGGAGGAAAGCTGTAGGTACTGAAGGGGAAAAGGAATAAGAGAACTTGTTGGGGTGTTGAAATACACCATTTCTTGATCTAGATGGCAGTTACGTGTGTGCACTCATATGTGTGTGTACACATGTAACAATTTAAGCTGTTGCTTAAAATCTGCATACTTAACTGTGTCTTATAGCCCAATAAATTATTTTTTTAATAGTGTAAGTTCTTTTTCTTTTCTTGACTAGCTCTGTGGTTGAAAGGTCTCACTTGTTTTATTCTAAACATTTTCAAGGCTAGCTGACTGTTCCAGCAGCACTGGAACTGGATATTAGGGAGTGAGAAGTAGGAATTCAATTACAACCTAAAGACCTGTCATATACAATGAGAAGCTGGAAGGAAAAAGTCACGAGCAAGAAACACACATAACTTTGAAGGAAAACACGAAATCAGGAAAGTACTTACTTCTACAATGTCGTCATCAAACAACAACCAAAAATCATGACTCTTAACTATTGCAATATAATGGCCTCGATTAGGACCACTAAAACAGAGAGAAATAAAAGTTAACTTCATACAAAGTTTATTAGTATTACTCTTCTATGTCCTAAATTCCATGTTCTGTAAAGGAGAAAAACTGAAACAGATACAAATGTTCCTTACCTATTCTTTCCCCCCAAGAGATCAAGCTACATTGATCCGAAATGTCATTTGGTTTTAAAGTAATTTGTACTCTACTTTGAGAGATATAACCAGTATTCTATTTATATAAAGCTATACTATTAAAATTCTTTGTTGCCTTTTAAAATTATTATTTTTGAAGTAATGTTCAAATTTGATTCTGCAGGAGACTTAAGTAAAACTTTCTAGCATTTTTGTGGGGCAGGAGAGGCCAGAGCACACTGAATTATAACTATCAAACGATGTACGTAGAATTATTTCTGAGTCTTAACCCTTGGCAATAGTTTTTCTTGAGGAAAAATTCCACATGACGCATGAAAAAGATACTGAAACCTTGGATCTGCAATCAAGCACCAACTTCATAAACTTCTCTAAACAAGTAACTTATTTTCAGTATTATCAGTGCTAGTTTTAAGTACTTAATTCTGAGCAACATGTAGTTATTATAATTGCCTCTGTATTTCACTTTAAATAAATCTTGGATACAGAAATCTAGGAAAACGTAGAAATAAAGGTGGGGTTTGCTTTTTTTTTTGGCCATGCTACGTGCCTTGTGGGATCTCCGTTTCCCAACCAGAGACTGAACTCGTGTCGCCTGCAGCGGAAGCTGGAGTCCCGAACACCGGACCACCGGCAAATTCCCTAAAGGAAATTCTTTTTAAAGAACATATCAAAGACTTTTTTTAGCTGCTCCCAGTTACTTAAGGACGACTCACTAGAAAAGTTTATATAATTTTTTATTAAATTACAATTCTACCACAATTATTATATTATAGGCCTTGAAAAAATTTTCAACACAAATTATCCTTTATGCTTCTGAATACGATTTTAAAAGCAGCAACCTCAGATCTGAGAATAAGCTGCCTCCCAGTTTCTTTAGATCTTTGATCCCGTAGTTAAAACTAGTATCTCTGTTGACAGAAAGATATGAGGAGAGCACATTTTCCCTGCAGAAGAAAACATGTTAAACTTAAAAAAAAATTTTAATGCTAACATAAACCTCCAGTCTGATCATTACAATAGGGTTCTGTAAGTTATCTGATACTGCTTTCCTCTGTTCAGATGTCATTACTTTAGAAACAGAATGCTCCAAAAATGGAAAAGCAAGATTACTGCTGAGGATAAACAACAGGAAATGGGCCAACACAGACTGTGGAGGTTAAAGACTGTGAGAGACGTGGACCTGCCTCCCAGCTATCTCAACATATTCTGAGCAGAAAGGTGGGAGGGAGGGACAGCTAACGAGCAGCTGGGATACAATACGCTGTTAGTACGAGGGGAAATGGAGGAGTGTCTTGTTTTAAAATTATTACAAGAAGGGAATTTCTCAGTGGTCCAGTGGTTAGGACTCACACTTTCACTGGCTAGGCCCTGGTCAGTCCCTGGTGAGGGAACTAAGATCCCACAAGCTGTACAGTACAGCCAAAGTGGGTGTGTACGTGTGTGTGTGTGTGTGTGTATATATCTATATATAAAATAAAATTAATACAGGAAATTATAAACAGTCAATGAAGACTTATGTTCCAAACATAAATGTTGATTATGAAATGCTCTTGTGGTCTGAGAATCTTTTTGAGTTATTTTATAAATTAAGATCTATAGATGAGACAGTACACTAAATTAGCTAATAGGAAACACACACACAGACTTGTAAAATCAGAAAACTTATCTTTGAAGGTTATTTCCAAAGCCTTCTTAAAGTGTTTTTCCTAAATTATTAACACGATGAACATATCCAACTAGTCTTAGATTTATTTTGTAAAAATAATTTATTTTATAAAATCTCTTTAAGCAGTATCTTGTTTTTTTTTTAACCAACAACCAAGAAAAACCAAAAAGAAAACTAACAGGACTTAAAAGTTCTCAGAGTAATATTTAGATGGTGGTGGTGGTGGTGGTTTAGTCGCTGAGTCGTGTCCGACTCTTTGCGACCCCGTGGACTGTAGCCTACCAGGCTCCTCTGTCCATGGGATTCTCCAGGCAAGAATACTGGAGTGGGTTGCCATTCCCTTCCCCAGGGGATCTTCCCAACCCAGGAATTGAACCCACGTCTGATGCATTGCAGGCATATTCTTTACCAACTGAGCTACGAGGGAAGCCCCTATTTAGATAATAAGAGCAAATATCAGATCCAAGCAATAACACACTATTTTAACATATAAAAGTTTTAAGGAGGAGATGGTAAAATGGATCTGAAATACTCATTCTGAAATAAACGCATCTCGGTCCGAGAGCACCGGGGGTACAGAATCTCTGGCAGGCCCGCCTCTTGAGAGGCCCTGGGATGTCCTGTGAGCACTGCCCATCCCCAGCCTCCTGCCGGCACGGCCCACGCCCATTACCTTCCACAGTGAACCACGACGGCCACGAGGTCGTACATTCTGTCAGGATTGGTCGCATCGCCTGAAGTGTTAAACAGACGAAGTTCTAAAGGAAAAACCACCCGGTAAGAAAGTTTTGTGTATCGATGAAGTTGATCCATATACTTAAATCTTTTCAGATGCAGAGCTAGAATCATGGGCAGCTTTTTCACTTTCATCCTGTCAGAATAAACATGAAGACAGAATTTCATAACAGACATTCACCATGACCTTAAAAGAACTATCAAACTGCAGGATTCAATTAACCACTGACGGTCAGTTTTATTAGCCCGGCACTGCCCACTTTCGCATATTTCTACCTGTGCCTTTTTAAAGTTTTTTATTTTGTGTTGGGGGCAGGGTGGTGGTGGTTTAGTCACTAAGTCGTGTCCGACTCTTGCAATCCCATGGACTGTAGCCTGCCAGGCTCCTCTGTCCGTGGGATTCTCCAGGCAAGAATACTGGAGTGGGTTGCCATTTGTGTTGGGGGAGAGCTGATTAATGCTGTGATGGTCTGAGGTGAACAATAATCTACTGTGACTCTTACATCAGCAGAGCAACATTCTGGCGGTCTTAAGACGGCCCCCTGTTCCCCATCATCTCCAAACCACACAATGCGATGTGGAACTCCATGTGGCTTCCAAACAGAGGACTAGCCCTTTATTTTAAGAACTCTGTACTCGTGAAATAGAGGTCCCTTCTGACAAGGCAGACTACAGGCAATGCCTGTGTCTGGTAGAGGAAAAACCGGCTCCTAAGAGCTGCTGTGAGCAGAGACTGAAATCCATTTGTTTTACTCATATACGTAAGTCAGGAACAGACTGGGAACAGGAGGGAGAGAGAGAGAAGAGCAATGAAGACCAGCCACTTAGGGTGTTTCACAGAGGTGGGATACAGCTCCTTACTAACAGCTCTGACTGCGTGGATCCTGGAAAGGCAATAAATAAGCTGGAATCACAGGAATGAGGTTTATACCTGTGAAGTCCAGGCCTCCTCATCCTCAACAATCCTGAAGACCCCCTCCACGTCATCTCTGCTCCCCCACGTCACTGCACGGCAGCCTCTTCTTACAAAATTCGCTGCCAATGCTTTCCCTTCTGACAGAAACAGCCGTTCTCCTTGGTCCTCCATCAGCACTTCATAGACTCACTCTGTCTCAGTACGGTTTGCTACACTACAGAATATAGAGATGGTTGTGGTCTCTCTCTTCGTCTAGGGTCTGGACTATGGGCAGACAGGAACCACCTCTTTCATCGTATTTCTCCACCACCCAGGAATATGCCTGGCACACAGCAGGTACTTGACAAACAGTGCAGGGCTGAATTCTGTATGTGTTCAGTGAAGCAAAACACTTTTCATAATTAAAAAAAAAAATTTACTAAGCCACTGCCTCCAATAAAGTGAAAAAAAAATAATTTTATAGCCTTATGTGAAACCTGCATTCTACAGATCTTAAGTGTAGAGGAGCAGCTGATGATCCCAGAAATATTCACTAACCTGGCCAGTGGAAAACATTAGTGAAAATAAATGTAAAAACCTAATCTTTCCTGGAAAACCAGTCAGCCACAGGAATCAACGGTCTTTATGCCCTTTTCCCCAATAATTCCATTTCTAGAAATTAAATCTATAACTTCAAATACAATATCCCGGAGCCCTCACTGAGACTGAGAAACAGGGATATTTACAATCTCAAAATACCTCCACACAAAATGCATATGAGTTACAACTGGGGAAAAAGCACAGCTTAACAGCTTAACACTGGGAGACAGCACCTCAGTCAAGTGACCAGAGAGAACTGCAGCAGTCACGGGACATACTGGGAAAGGCTGGCTGTGGGGCTGACCCTCAGCTGGCATCTGGGACCTTGATCTGGGGGAGCTCCCGCTGTTTCCTAGCTGGTAAGCGGGTCTCGATGTGCCTGAACTTGTTCTGCAGATCAAATGGTTCATGCTGAACACCTGCTTCCCTTCCAGGAGCCTGGAGTTTTGGTACCTGCCTGGAGTTTTGGTACACGCCTGATGGCTTGGCGGGTAAAGAATCCACCTGTGATGCATTAGACATAAGAGACTCAGGTTTGATCCCTGGGTCAGGAAGATCCCTTGGAGGAGGAAATGGCAACCCACTCCAGTATTCTTGCCTGGCGAACCCCACAGACAGAGAGCCTGGCGGACTGTGGTCCATGGGGCTGCAAAGAGTCGGACACTGAGTGACTGAGCGTGTATGCACACACACAGGCAGGGAATGCCTAGGTGACCTGCCCCCAGTAAATCTCGGGCACCGCACTGAGTCTGTGATGAGCTTCTCTGGGAGACAATGCTGTCACATTCGATGCTGGAGAAACAAGTGTGCCCATGTGACTCCACGGGGATAGGACACTTTGAAGCTGGCCTGGCTTCCCCTTTGCTGATCAGACCTGTCACTGTTCCCTGTGACAAACCTTAGCTGTGAGCAGGACTACAGATGCTGAATCCTGCAAGTCCTTCTAGGGAAGCATCAAATCCAGGAGCGGTCATGGGGGCCCTGACACATGACACGTATCAAAGTCATGTACCATTTAAAAAGAACACAGCCTCACCTCTGTGTGATTCTTGCCCAGAATATATAATCTGAACCTCATTACATGAAAACATGAGATGGACCCAAAGAAGGACATTATGTAAAATAACTAACCTGTAATTTTTAAGTGTCAAGAGAGTGAAAGTCAAGCAAAGACTAACAAGGAACTGCTCCCGATGTAAAAAGATGACAGAGACACGAATGCTAAATGCAACGTGTGCTTCTGGACTGGATCCTTCTTTTCTATAAAGGACATTACTGGGACATTTGGTGATGCTAAAATAAGGTCTACAACAACAGTAACATATCACTGCTGCTCTCCTGACGTGGACAGACATGGTACAGGGGAAACCTCCTTGCTGGCAGGACACCGCTACCGAAGTCTCAGAATTGCAGGACATCACAGCAGGGACCCTCTCTCAAATGGTTTAGGGTGGAAAAGCATTCTTGGTATATTGTTCACAAGACTTTGAGGCTGCTTCAAAATAAAAAGTAAAATAATCAGGGTGATGATGAGTCCATTTCCTGATACCAGAATACGGTCTTCACGGTGACACAATGAGAGAAGGCATGAATCCCATGGAGGAAGAGTGGGGACTGGAGTGGGCATGAGGAAGGCACCTTTCCCCTCTTCTTTCTTCACCCAGAGAACGCTTACACAACGAGGAAAGCTTCAAAGCAGAATCCTCTCACTGTACTGGTTTATGGTGACTAACCACTCACCAAGTGTGGATAGTCAAGGTAGCAGAGTTGAGCACTGTTTGCCTGGTAACTACCCAATGTGTTTGTCTAGTAATTACCTAATGAGTCTTAACAGCTGGTGATAAAATGAAGGATGATTATTCAATGCAAACTGCCAGAGATCACTTCTGGCTAGAACATCCATGGCCAAAGAATCACTATGAATTTCAGAAAACACTAAATTACCGTTTGTGTGCTTCCTGTTTGCTGCGACATTCTTCACAGTAATATTTGTATTCACTGCATAGAGTTTCTGTGTTGCTAAAACCCCTGTGTAAAATTCAAAATAAATTAGTTTTGCCTATACCAGAAAATGATGTATTCATTTAAAGATATTCTAAAAACCAAAGATAATCATTAACTGTCAAAATAAATAATTCCACGCTTACCTTAAGCAGTGAGTAATTGATGTGTTTTGTTCCACGTCAACAGAAAGGTCTAAAAAATCTTCATCTTTGCTGCTTATCTGTAAAAATAAGAGAATTAATTACCTTTGATTTCTTTAGATATCAGTAAATTACTGCTCCAAAATGACAGAATTAAATGTGGATTATTATTACTGTTATTAAATATATAAAGAACCTTTTCCCCCAAGTTGAAAAGAAACTACTTGAGTCATGCAAGTTTACAAAAGGACACTGAATCAATACCGTCCGTTATATTTAGAGGAAAGCACCAAAGTGCACCTACGGCTGCTCTCCTTACTGGCAAAGGCTGGTGTGATGTGAAATCCCATCACTTCCCCGAATCCTGGTATTCGGGGTAGTTTAGTCACTCAGTCTTGGCCCACTCTTTCAACCCCACAGACTGTAGCCCACCAGGCTCCTGTGTCCAGGGTGTAAACTATGCCATATACAGTAATTCTTAAAAGAACACAGGACAAGGCTGAATGAGAATGGTTGGTAAAGGACGATCTCTGTACTGTTTAATTATTTAAGAAAAAAATTACCATTTAAGAAAAAATATTAGCCCAACATGCCAAACTGAGCCTTCACTTATGACCTTCTTTCATTTATCCTCTGAATTTAACCATGTTCTGCTTGAATTATGAATAAATCATCTATAATGATCTAAAGTTACTACTTATTCATTGAACTGGAATAGGACACATCACTCATGCTGGCTGCCTCCCTCAACAGGATGCAACAGGAAGGACGTCACATTCAGTCCCCCGGAGCAGCCCCCACCACACAACTCTACACATATAGATGGTCTGTGATGATGTTTTCGATACGACACCAAAAGCATTTAAAGAATATTAAAAGCATTTCCATGAAGGAAAAAAAACAAACAGGACTTTATTAAAATTTAAAATTAAAACATTAAAAACTTCTGATCTGCCAAAGGCACGGTTCAGAGAATGTGAAGATGAGCCACAGGCTGGGAGAAATCCTTGCAAATGACACATCTGACAAAGGCCTGGTACCTAAAATGTACAAAGTACTCCTAAAACTCAACAACTAGAAAACAAACAACCTGATTTGAAAAATGGGCCAAACACTAGTACTGATACCTCACCAAAGAAGATATATAGATGGCAAATGGGTGCATGAAAAGATGTTCCACATTATATGCCATCAGAGAAATGCAAATTAAAACAAGACAACACTACACACCTATTAGAACAGCCAAAATCCAAAACACCGACATCAGCACGTGCTGACCAGGATGTGGAGCAGCAGGAACTCTCCCTCACTGCTGGTGGGAATGCGAATGTAGTTCCAAAACTAAATGTACTCTTCCTACCACACGATCTAGCAACTGCGCCCCTGACCACTAACTGAGGCACTGAAAACTTATATCCACACAAAATCCTGCACGTGCATGTTCTGAGCAGCTTTATTCATAATTACCAAAACCTGTAAGCAACCGAGATGTCCTTCAGTAGGTGAATGGATAAAACTCTGGTATATCCAGACAATAAAATGTAATTCAGCAATCAATTAAAAAGAAATGAGCTATCAAGCTGTGAAAAGACGGGCGGGAACCTTAAATATCTACTGCTGAGTGAAAGAAACCAATCTGAAAAGACCACATACTCTATGATTCCAACCATGTGGCATCTGCAAAGGGCAAACTATGGAGGCAGTAAAATGACCAGTGGCCGCCAGGGCACAAAGCGTCATCAGAGTGGCAAGACTACTCTACGACACCGCAGTCACGAGACAGCCCTCCTGTTCAACATGAAGCCTCAAAACAGTTCAAACCACAGCCAGTGTTCCTCTGCCAGCTCAGGGCTCAGTCAGCAAGCAGACAGCTGAGAGGCTCGTCGGCCACAGGCACCATAACTCTCAAGTTCACTCTCATACTCATCTTCAAAGAACTTTTAACACAATGGGTTAGACGTGTTCTATACGACATTTTATGATATACTTACGGTTTCACAAGTAAGACATCTGGTTTCATTAGTCAGTGTTCCCTGAAAGATCTCATGAACCCATGTTGGGTCTGGTGTGCTGTTATTTTCACTGTCAATGTTACCATTAGGCAAACGACCATTTTGTTTCTCCTGCTTTCTCTCTTCTTGTAAAATATCAGCAATGGTATTTAGTAGGTAATTTAGGAATTCGTGGGCATCTTGCTGCATGTAGTTGTCAAAGAGCTCTAAAAATAAGAATGCATAGAGAATTATTTCAGAATGAATAACTACATTAAAAAACTAAATAAAAAAAGAATATCTAGTATTTTTATCAGAACTACATCAAATGTTTAGGACTGTTAGTACTGGACAAGAAATAGGTATCTTTCACATGTACAAATTATGAGTCGAATTTGGGGAAAATAAAGTTATGATGAATAAAAATCTCCTAAAAAATACTAATTGATCAAAAAAGAGAAAACCTGTCCTCATACATAATGTATTGAGGTGGTAAGAAACAACTGCTTTTTATCAGTTCACTTAATCTATCATCCCATAAGTACTACAAAAAGGCAAAACGGTTGTCTGATGAAGCCTTACAAATAGCTGTGAAAAGAAGAGAAGTGAAAAGCAAAGGAAAAAAGGAAGGAAATACCCATTTGAATGCAGAATTCCAAAGAATAGCAAGGAAAGATAAGAAAGCCTTCCTCAGCGATCAATGCAAAGACTTAGAGGAAAACAATAGAATGGGAAAGACTAGAGATCTCTTCAAGAAAATGAGAGATACCAGGGAACATTTCATGCAAAGATGGGTACAATAAAGGACAGAAATGCTAAGGACGTAACAGAAGCAGCAGATATTAAGAAGAGGTGGCAAGAATACACAGAAGAACTATACAGAAAAGATCTTCATGACCCAGATAATCATGATGTGATCACTCACCTAGAGCCAGCCATCCTGGACTGTGAAGTCAAGTGGACCTTAGAAAGCATCACGACAAAAAAAGCTACTGGAGGTGATGGAATTCATCCATCATTTGAAGGAATTCCTCCATCATTCCTCTCATTTGAAATTGAGCTATTTAAAATCCTAAAAGATGATGCTGTGAAAGTGCTGCACTCAATATGCCAGCAAATTTGGAAAATTCAGCAGTGGCCACAGGACTGGAAAAGGGCAGTTTTCATTCCAATCTCAAAGAGAGGCAATGCCAAAGAATGCTCAAACTACCGCACAATTGCATTCATCTCAAACTCTAGCAAAGTAATGCTCAAAATTCTCCAAGCCAGGCTTCAACTGTACATAAACCAGGAACTTCCAGATGCTCAAGGTGGATTTAGAAAAGGCAGAGGAACCAGAAATCAAATTGCCAACATCTGTTGGATTATCAAAAAAGCAAGAGAATTCCAGAAAAACATCTACTTCTGCTTTATTTACTATGCCAAAGCCTTTGACTATGTGGATCACGACAAACTGTGGAAAATTCTTAAAAGAGATGGGAATACCAGACCACCTGACCTACCTCCTGAGAAATCTGTATGCAGGTCAGGAAGCAACAGTTAAAACTGTAAATGGAACAACAAACTGGTTCCAAATCGGGAAAGGAATACATCAAGGCTGTATATTGTCACCCTGCTTATTTAACTTATATGTAGAGTGTATCATGCAAAATGCTGAGCTGGATGAAGCACAAGCTAGAATCAAGATTGCTGGGAGAAATATCAATAACCTCAGATATGCAAATGACACCACCCTTATGGCAGAAAGCGAAGAACTAAAGAGCCTCTTGATGAAAGTGAAAGAGGAGAGTGAAAAGGTTGGCTTAAAGTTCAACATTCAGAAAACTAAGATCATGGCATCTGGTCCCATCACTTCATGGCAAATAGATGGGGAAATATTGGGAACAGTGAGAGACTTAAAATTTTATTTTTTTGGCCTCCAAAATCAGTGCAGATGGTGACTACAGCCATGAAACTGAAAGACGCCTGCTCCGTGATGACCAATCTAGACAGTATACTAAAAAGCAGAGACATTACTTGGCCGGCAAAGGTCTGTCTAGTCAAAGCTATGGTTTTTCCAATAGTCGTGTATGGATGTGCGAGTTGGACTATAAAGCAAGCTGAGCACCAAAGAATTGATGCTTTTGAACTGTGGTGTTAGAGAAGACTCTTGAGAGTCCCTTGGACTGCAAGGAGATCAAACCAGTCCATCCTGAAGGACATCAGTCCTAAATAGTCATTGAAAGGACTGATGCTGAAGCTGAGCTGAAACTCCAATACTTTGGCCACCTTATTTGAAGAACTGACTCATTTGAAAAGACCCTGATGCTGGGAAAGATTGAAGACAGGAGGAGAAGGGATGACAGAGGATGAGATGTTTGGATGGCAACACCGACTCAATGGACATGAGTTTGAGTAAACTCCAGGAGTTGGTGATGGACAGGGAAGCCTGGCGTGCTGTAGTCCATGGGGTCGCAAAGAGTCAGACATGACTGAGTGATTGAACTGAACAGATACTACAACAGGGCAAGTTTTAAAGCAGAAAGTGGACAACCTCGTGGCAGTGCCAGGGCAAATGCATACGAACCACAGAGGAAGGCGTGAACATGATAAATCACCCCGTGTGTAGCCTCTGACCGAGTTGGGTGAGGCCTGGAACCTGCACTTCTCTAAGCTCCTCCGGGTGATTTGCTATGCAGTCAGGTTTAGGGAACAGGCATCATAGAAAATCTATTTAATCCAGAGAATCTCTAAAGGCCCTTCCAAACATGAGACCCGTAACTCCGAGGAATATCCCCCGCAGCTACTCAAATGAGTCGCTGTCATGGCAACACTAAGCGCTTGACCTGTGCTCGCATCACATACCCTGAGCCTGCAGAGGAAGACCTTCCAGGGCAGGGCCTCATGCCATCTTCCTAACAACCCTGTGACACCGCTATTAGCAGTATTTCACAAGTGAGGAAATGGGAGAGAGCAGTAAAGACACTGGGCAGAACCAGGACTCAAGCCAGGCCATCGGGCCCCACCCAGGGGATTTGGGCAGCCAGGCTACCTGGCCACACAGGTGTCTGCACCCAGCCAACAAGATGCACTCAGACCACCACCCAGTCAGGAAGTTTCACCTCCAGAGCTTATATAAGTTCAGAAAGTTTACGGTTTACATTTTCAAAATGATAGAATAGAAACCGATTAGAAAATCGAGGGAAAACCTCCCTAAGAACATGGAATTTAAAAATTACATATTAGAAGAGCTGCAGATATGACCGCATAAGACTAAGTTCCACACATTAGAAATCATTTAAAAAGTTTAAAATGGTGAAACCTGAAAGGTATCAACATCTTCAACATAAAAAGAATTTATACAAAAGACAGAGTCGGCAAAAGACTTGAGATCAACAACTTACAGAAACAAAATTTTAAAGGTTAAATAAAATACATGAAAAAACATTCAACTCCATGGTAAACCAAAGAGGTCATTTGATAGTTCTTGAATGAATGAATGAATGAATAGACCACAGGCACTGTGATGTAACAAGAATAAACTTGGCCCCCAACAGCAACGTGAATGATCACACTGCTACAAGCCAGCTGTTCTGACTTCAAGCCACCTTAGGAGAAGTGACCCTCCGCATAGGTGAAAACCCACGTAAAACCACAGTCAGCCCCTCGCATGTGAGGATCCTCCGTACCCGGTCATGCTCCTGGGATCTGAGCCACCAGATGACACAGGGCTATAGTACTGACTACTGAGAAAATCCTCGTTAAGTGGACCCATGCAATATAAACCCATGCTGTCCAAAGGTCAACTGTACATGAGTTTCCTACCAGGACAAAATTTTTAAGTGTCCCACCAACACAGACAAAAAAAACAAACAACTCTCCGAGAAGACCGGAATCACTCTCATTCAGAGTTGTACTTGGCTTTCTCACAAACAGAAGATACTCAACACATCTGGAATTTAAGACAGTAAGTAGGTTTAGCCTGAATCAGGGAAATATTTTTTTTTAAAGTGCTTTTGTGAGCAATTAACCTATTTGTATACGGAGAAAATGAACAAAACTTTTAACATGGTTATCAGATTAAAAAATAGTAACCTATAATTATATTATTGCAGCATCTTCATATGTTTTAGGAAATTCAGTATGACCCATGCTTCTCTCGATTCATGTGACAATGAACAGTGTCAAGTGAGTTAAGGGCAGGACTCCCCATTAATAACCAACCTTAGAAACTTCTCAAATCATATTTCTATGGGCATCATTATATTTGACCGCTAACAAATGAAACTAAAAATAACACCCAATTTTCTTTCTATAGTGACTGAAATGCCTACATCCAAACAAACAAGCAAAAAGAATTCCACACATTTCTCAAGTCCATCCGAACTTCCCGAGGCAGCTCACCACCCTGGACAGACGCTGGGCTCAGATGTCAGGGAGGATGCGGGCCTGACAGGTCACCTTAACATCCCTGAGTGCCAGTGACGACACGGCAACTGAAGAAGTAGTGACTAATGATGAGCTTGCTAAGGAAATCAAATGAAAACTATTTGAAGAGAGAAAAGGGAAGTGGGGGTGTAGCCAGTTACTATTTTTAAAAGAGGGGGTGGGGTAGGGGGTGGAGTTAAAACCATATATCCTAAGCCAGAAAGTTTCATTTATTGGGTTGGCGCTTTCCTTTGCCTGGGGTGTGACTCCTGGCAAGTCTTTTAGCTTCTTTGTTTTTTTTCCCAAGGCTAAAGTGGGGGAAATATAATGGCCTCTCATGAGATTATTGTAAGGATCAAATGAGTTAATATTCATGAAAAGCATTACCAAAAAAAAAAAAACAAATGAACAGTAATTGGGGGAAAAAAAAATCAACAAAAAAACTGCAGAAGACCCCACAACTTTTCCTTTTTCAATATTTGGCTACACTGGGTCTTAGTTGTAGCATGCAGGATCTAGTTCCCTGATTAGAGATCAAACCCAGCCACCCCCAATACCCCCACCCCCGCCCGCATTGGGAGCCTGGAGTCTTAGCCACTGGACCACCAGGGAAGTGCCTTCAACGACTTTCCTTGATCAAAGAGCCAAGCAGGCAAAAAAAGAGAAATGATAATTTCTCATTTCCAGGCCTACAGAATTTGATCTCTGCATAGCACACTTCAGACGGCAGCCACGCCTCACAGAAACCCGCCTGACTGTGTCCTCACTGAGCTGGCTGGCACTGCCTTTGCGGCAGGAACACCACCTTTGGCTTCTGAGAGGCGCCGCACCATCGGGTGTGAGGACGCCCAGCCGACGCTTGCTGCACCCGACCGTCCTGTTACCTTAGCAGCAGGCTGAGAAGCAGAAGAGTTATTTACCATTTTCTTTCCGCAGTCTCGTTATGAACTTCTTAGGAGGTATGACTCCAACCTTCTTCTTCTGGGTGGCGATGCTGTGGAAGAGGTCTGCTAAGCACGTGAGAAGGCTCTCCTTCTTCCGGGGCTGACTCTTGTACGCGAGAACTTTTTCCCGAAACGGACGACAGAAGTAAAGTGCCTGAAGAACTGAATTGCAGTAGCAGGTATTCCCAAACTAGAATAGGAAAAGGAAAAAAAAAAAAAACTTATTTGTTAAAATTGGGGGTAAAACAATTTCCAGAGAAAGAATTTCCAAGCCTAGAGTTGAGAGAAGAGAAAGCAAGATAGCGAATATTTATGATCCTCATAAATTATAAGGTACCTGAGGGTAGAACTGTGGAGTTGGAGAAGACTCTTGAGAGTCCCTTGGACTGCAAGGAGATCCAATCAGTCCATCCTAAAGGAAACCAGTCCTGAATAGTCACTGGAAGGACTGATGCTGAAGCTGAAACTCCAATACTTTGGCCACCTGATGCAAGAACAAACTCATTGCAAAACTCATTGGAACTGATGCTGGGAAAGATTGAAAGCAGGAGGAGAAGGGGTGACAGAGGATGAGATGGTTGGATGGCATCACTGACTCAATGGACATGACTTTGAGTAAATTCCAGGAGTTGGCGATGGACAGGGAAGCCTGGTGTGCTGCAGTCCATGGGGTCACAAAGAGCTGGACACATCTGAGCTCCTGAACTGAACTGAGGGTAGAAATAATTGTCCTAACTGCAAATTAGTCATTTTAACATTAACTGGATGCTCTTGACATCAGTTTCAGGTTAAAACGAAAGAAAGATACATGTGATAAGTCTGGCCTTTAGGACCACTGAGTTAAGGAACTACACAGTTTAAACAGTGAGATTAGTTAAGGTTTAGGATTCTGGAGAATTTTTTTATTTTCCAAGTCCCACTGTTTTGACAGTATTGGTTGTATAAGAACCATTTTCTATACTGTACATTTAAAAATATAACTCTCAAAAATTCTTTAAAAAAACATAATAGTGAAGTTTACTATCAAGTTCTTTGGTGCCATACAAAAAATAAAAACAAAAATAAGAAAAAAAAACAGGATACTTAGAAGTATTAGCTGAAAAAATCAGCAGTGACAGCTGGACCACCACCGACATGCTGAGACGCCGGGTCACACCGTGCCTGATGCATCAGGAGGGAATGGAGCTGAATCCTGAATGGCAGCCCCACCTCTCACTGGCCATGTGGCCTGAAGCAGGTGACCGCAACTCACTCAGCTTCAGTTTCCTTCTTCTTTTTTTTTGGCCTTGCCCCAAGGCACGTGGGATCTTAGTCTCCCAACCAGGGATCAAACCTGCGTCCCTGCATTGGAGGGACACAGTCTTAACCACTAGACGCCGGGGAGGCACGAGTTTCCTTCTATTTAATAACAAGGGGGGAAACAGTCTTACTTTGCAAAGAAAAGAACACAGAGCTTGACAAATATTTTCTGCCTTCCTTCTTCCTTCCCATGAATAGAAACGATGACGTGAAAAGCAGGCTAATAAAACACCTGGAAGTCAATCAGGGAGGATCCAGGGAGTAAACAAGGACCGATCCCAGAGAACTGTCCCAGGGTGAGGTCCTGTATGCGTTACCTTTAACAGGCTGCCTGCAGACGAGTGCTGAAGAATGGGAACCCTTCAACTATGTCCATAAACACAAGTGCATGTCTGCTGACATTTTAAAACTAGGAAGGCTAAATCAAAAGCTAATATAAATGATTATTTATAGAGAGAGGGAAAAGAGGAGAGAGCAATGAAAGTGAGGCCACTGTGCATGTACATGGTTATAAGAAGTTTCTTTTGCACCCATATTTTTTAAAAAAGATTTATTTGGCTGCCCTGGGTCTCAATTGAGGAACACGGGATCTTTAGTTGCAGCATGCAGACTTTTAGTTGCAGCATGTGAGATCTAGTTCCCCAACCAGGGATCGAACCTGGGCCCCTTGCATTGGGAGCTCAGAATCTTAGCCACTGGACCACCAGGAAAGTCCCTGTATCCATATTTTTAAAAAACTAAATTAAAAACAAAAACAGGAAGAAAAAATAAATTCCTAAAATTGAAAATAAACAGAAATAAACCTAAATGTCTATCAAGTTGGTGGCAGAATTACTTAAAGAATGACTTCAAATGACTTTAAAACACAGGATGGGTTTTTACTATCAACGCCTTCCTAGGGAAGTTACCAAGCCACTCTCTTTATCGGTTTCCTCATCTGTAAATGACGTTTATACCCGCACCAACCTCTACAATCTTGTGAAGAATTAACTCAATGATCTGCATGAAGAACTCAGTGTGGTTCTGGCACACCTCATCACTACATGGTTATTTTTGAAACAACCTTTTTGAGTCATCTGTCCCTTTTGGAAAATTAGCTTAGCTGAAACAGATTAAATCCTATAACCCCCAGGTGTACACTTAAATCATGATAGATGACAACAGCACAATAAACCAGAGGGGTGGCACGTCAGCCTGCAGCACTGTGCATCCTGCAGTGACACAGACCACACGTGTGGATGGCATACGGGTGCCAGCACCATCCATTTATTAAGAACCATCAAGGCTTAATCTATCTTTCATTTTTAGATAAAAGTAAACATTAGCCATGCTCATACTTTCGCCCCCACCCCCCAATGAATCATCTTACATATTCCATTTGGAAACTACTGGTTTTAACCACTATTACGTCAACATAATGTCAGCAGAATGTTTTAAATGGTTAACTGCCCCACTGTCGCCCACGCTGGCTGGTGACGGTGCCTGTCCCATGAACATAACCTTCTAAGGGAAGACCCTCTTCTCCCCACCACAATTTCTGTTCAGGTGGCTCTGTTCCATGTAACTCTAGACCCCACGTCCCCAACCACCTGCTCCCTGCAGCCAAGGGTGCCTAATCCAGATTCTCAGGGACATTGTTCCTCCCCCTCGCCTGACCCCCATCCTGATCCCCCCCACCTGCCCCCCAGCCCCAGGCCTCCTCACAGGGATTGACTTCTCTATGCAAATTCTGTAAGGGGGTCAGTCACAAGCCCTTCTGCAGATGCTGCCACGGGGTCAGGCACTCGATCCAATCTGGCCCGAGTCCTTTGGTCAGGTTTGATATGAACAGTCTGCAGTCTCTGTTATATAGGCTTTGAGCAGTCTAAGAACACCAGGCGGGAAGAAACGAAAGGAGAATGAAATCAACACAAAAGAAAATAGAACCAAGAGACATCAGCCTACTAAACCCTGTAACCTACAAATGGCAAGTTTCATTTTTAGTTCTCTTTCCTCCATGGTGACCCTTGTTCCCTGGATTCAGAGTTCCAACTAATGACTACAGTCAGTTCAGATTAGAGAAAGCCTTTTATAAGATGGTTCAGCCTCACAAAAAAATTCATTAATCCCAACCAACTTGTTTGGGGGCTTATTGTATTATAAAGTTAAAATGATTCTCAAAAGGCTGCTAAAAATGGAGCGACTGCACAAAAGTAGGAAAGAGAGTAGTCTAAATCACTCTTCACTCAGCTTCGCTAGGCTAAGTATTTATTGGCTACAAGATATAAAGGGGAAAAGGCAAGTTGGTTGATCAGATTAAAACCATTTGTTTTCAAAGAATTCAGCTAACTGCACAAACAGCCCACATATAAAAGAGGGATTTTACAGCAAGAGAAAGCACCCAAAGCTCCTCTGCCTCTCGAGATGGTTTCTGCACTCCCCTGTACCCCCCAGCCACACCCATATTTCTTCTGATATCCTGCAACATCAGAAATACTGACGTATCCACAAGGGTTAACTCAATAGGAAACCCCACTATATGTATTATGCAAATCACAGGGATAGACATCAGAGTTATCATGAAGAGCCAACTGCCATGAAAGCTATCATTTGTGAAAATATTCCTCCAAGATAAAAAATATCTACAACTGAAAGTTATGGAAACTAGACTGTTAGATTAACAAAGTGAAGAGTAACCACTCTGAATTTTCTGGTAGGTTAATTAAACTGTGGGTTTTTTTCTCTTCTCTCCATTAAAAAAAAAAAAAGTCTACTTTTCTAACCGCCCAAACGCACAGTTTCCCAAAAGCAAATGCCTTTGAGTGATTCTATTACTTTTACTAGTCACAAAAAGGGATTCAATCAGGCAGACCTAACAGGAACTGTTTTCAGTATTTGCTTTTTGTAAGAGTGATTAAAATGAAACCTGGAAATGCACACTTCACTAAGAACAGACTGATTAGAAGAAAACAGACGCGTGCCTCATTTTAACTGAATCCAATTATTAGGAAAGATTAACCACCGAGTTCCTTAAAGCAGCTGCATTCCATGTTGTTTACAAACACTAATGACTTGGCAGACAGGCATAGGGACAGCAGGAAGGTGTTCAAATGTTCTCCTCTGAATTAACTAAGCCATCTCCCCAACCCCTCAGAGCTCCAACCTTAGTTTTTAAGGGACTCTATAAATAGTGTGATAACTCTCCAAATAAAAAAGGGGGAAGGAAACTAGAGAGAAGGGTGATAACAATGTAAGAGTTGAAAACAGAGCTGGTGGAAAAGGGTTCAAGGCACACAACACAGGCGTGAAGTGGCCCAAGAGCACAGATCCCAGGAGCGTGTATCACTGTCCCAGGTCAGCTGTGCCTACTCTCACCACCACTGGTCTCTGAGGAGGGTTTGAAGTGCCCATCAACCCTTCACAGCCGGAGCCCTGGCTACCTCAGGACCTCAGGGATCTCAATTCTTCATCATCGTAACGAGGCACAGAGATCGGAAACTCCAGCTTTCCTTGGCTTTGTTGAACCTCATTTATTCAGCTTCAGGGAGAAACACAAACTCCACCTTTTGAATTTAGACTGGTGCATAGTCTATAATGCACCAGTATTATAGACTATTATTACACCAGAAGTAATAAAAATGATACCTTCTTAGAAACTTTTGGTAACACAAGCAACAATGGTATTTGGATACTGGTATCATATTGACTTAAAAATACCAGCAGAAAAAAAAAATACCACAGAGGTGCTTAGTTGTGTCCAACTCTTTGAGACCCCATGGACTGCAGGGCCACCAGGCTCCTCTGTCCTTGGGGATTTTCCAAGCAAAAATACTGTAGTGGGTTGCCATGCCCTCCTTCAGGGGATCTTCCTAACTCAGGGATCGAACCCAGGTCTCCTGCATTGCAGGTGGATTCTTTCCTGACGGAGCCACCAGAGAAGCCCCACAGAGCTTTAGGACTCATATCGTATCAAGTATGTTGTTTTACTTGTTTGGAGGTAATTTGCAAAAAAGTTATTTAGGCACAAAAGGGAGAAAGCTGGAATGCTTATGCAGGAGAAGCTAAAGGTAAGACAGCCTTCAATATAGAAAACACTACTGTTTTAAAGGAAAGAGGTTCTCCTGAGACACTAACAATGGCTATAGCTTTACGACAATTCAAGACACAAATGAGCTTTGGGGTCTGAACCAGGTAAGGGTGGTTCCCACAGAGAAGGAGCAGTGAGACTGGAGAAAATGGGGTCTGCCCCCCTAGAACTGAAATGAAGCTTCTGATCACTAAGCAACTTTATATGTAAGTGCGAACATTTCAGATACTATACAGAAGTCGAGGCAAGACTTCTCAATAAACAAGGGAAATTAAATATTCATTTAATTCTCCTCCCCACGAAACCCCAAATAAAATGACAGTAAAAGAATAGATTAAAAAAAAAGAATAGATTAGGCAAAAGCTCAAAAGGCTAAAGAAGATGACAACAGACTAGAGACAGAAGCAAACTTACAGAAAATTTCACTCTTTTAGATGAACAAAATTTGAGAAAACCTTCCAACTAGTAAAGATACTAAAAAAGGGGGGCGGGGGGATAAACTCAGGTCTCAGAAACGATCCAGTGAGCGCAAGAAAACCTTGGCAACAACAAAATCTTTGAATAATATCATAAGAAAAGGAGCAGAAGATATTGCCTCCATGAAACAAGGTTTAAAAAAAAAAACAAGGTTAACACTCTAAACAATGAAAAATGCAAAGAGTGGACAAAAAAGTTGAAGATACAGTCTAAAATGTAGACTAAGGGAGACAATCAAAAAAGGGAGAAAAAATAAAAATAAGGAATCAGTCTGTTTCAATATGCAATTAACCATATTAAAAAGAAAAAGACAAAACAGAGACATTACAGTAATAGGAAGAAAACTATCCCAATAATGGTATCAGAAATGGCTTAGACCTGAGGTACACACATCACTAGTCTGAATGGGTCGGTAAACAACACAACAACAGGGTCGTCATCAAGAGACAGGATGAGATTTCAGAACACTGTGGACAGAGAACACCCTTCAGGACTCCCAAACACATTCTAAAGGGCAAAAGAAGGCACGTACGTAAGAGAGAAAGAGCCAGAATGGCAAGTGACCTCTCAGCATCAAGAGAAGTCAGAAAGCACCAGAGCAAGCCCCAAAGACTCTGAAGGACGGGTATGCCCTAGGATGGACGTCCAACTGACACTTAGACAGATAACCAAACCTGTCTTCGGTACACACGACCTCAGAGTTCATATCTGTGCATACTTCCTTAACAAGCGACTCCAGGCCGTATTCTGCAAAGCAAGGGAGGAAACCACCGGGAAGGGGTCGGGAAGGAGGGAAGGAGACAAGTGCAGGGCGACGGAAGAGGCCGGAAGAGGCGCTGCCAGGCATCAGGAGAGCAGAGGGGACCTGCTGGGCACGGCTCCATGGAAACTGACAGGAGGCCTTCATGGCTTTCTTTGGTTCTCTTGAAGACTTTGGTTAAGAATAAGCAACAATTAAGGCCGAGATTAATTTCATTCTGGGAGAACCAGGGAAAGTGAAGTTGGGCAGGGATGGTGGGAAAAGACAGCAAAGTTCCTGCTTCTGTTTCTGCCGAAACAGCAAGTCAGTATACATACATGTGTACATATGTATATATATTAATAGAAAGTATAAGCACCGTATTTACTCTCTAAGGACACATTCCAGAAAAAAAGAGCAGAGGATTGATGAGTGGTGTCCTCCAGGGAGGGGAATAGAGGAGGGTGGGCACTGCTGATTCTTCGTCCAGCACAGACAAAGAAGGGTCCCCCGGCAAGGTGACCCCACACACCACCTAATCTGCCCTCCTCAAATCGCACAAGAACTCCATGTGTACATAACGACGTGCTAGAACCAAGTTTAATAAAATTTACTTTCGTACCTATATTATCACCTATATATATATTTAAAATGCCACAGATCCACCCAGCAGGACAGTACAACAGCATAAACCACCATGACAAACGTGTAAAGATCTGTGGTGTTCTCTGATGATTCGGGAAAGATCTGTGGTGTTCTCTGATGATTCGGGAAAGAGTTCAAAATTCTAAAGAGAGTTCTTTAGACTCTACAGACACACAGAGGCATTTACAAAACTATGTTTATTTCTATCTGTACATGTGGACCACTTATATTTAGACATGTAAATAATTCTCAAAGAATCAGATCATTTGGTCTAGGCCATATGAGATTTTGGTTATGAGAAAATTCTAACACAAAATAGGGGGGAAAAAAATCAGTCTGATTAATTAGAAACTGTTCTAAAGACTCTTAAGGCTTCAGGCAGTGCCTCTCTCTCTTCCATTAGAGAGAATTCTGAAATTCCAAGTCAAGTTTCTTGGCATTAAATCTGCTGATATGAATGAACAATTTTCCTTTAATAAATTATGAACTGCATTCATCGTCCTTAAGACTACTTCCAAGCACAATTCTATAGGCTACTTACGTATTAACAGATACTTACATTTACTAATCCGAAATAGTGCTCATTGACCGGAAACTGTTCTGGACCAATCTCTTTCTCTAATGCCGAGGCATTGGCGCCCTATGGGATGAAAAGGAGAAATCTGAGTATTTAGGGTATTTTCCCAATCCTGTCACAGTTACATACACACTACAGAGAGATCCTTAAAATGATTTTGCTTCCTGTAACAACCTAACATTATGGAAAGAAAATAAAGGGTGACAATGAAGAAGAAAGGCTTTTAATAATATGACTAAAAAAAAAAACACAGTTTGCAGGAACAGTTGGATCAAGGAATTCTAATCCTGCTCCTTTTCCTACATGATTCTTATGTGATGGATGAGAGCCCCTGCTGTCTCTTGTGGTCTCAGAGGTGTGTGATCTCAGAGACATCCTGAAGTTAGGCATACCTTTGGCAACCTAATACTTCTTCAGCAGTGCACGCATGAAAATTTCTCATGCAGAACAAAGGGGACAAGAATGTTTGCTGAGGGCTTCCCTGGTGACTCAGTGGTAAGGAATCCACCTGCCAACACAGGAGACGGGTTCGATCTCTGGTCCAGGAAGATCCCACATGCCTCGGAGCAACTAAGCCCGTGGGCCACAACTCCTGAGCCCATGTGCTGCCACTACAGAAGCCTGTGCGCCTAGGGCCTGTGCTCCACAACAGAAGCCACTGCAGTGAGAAACTAGAGGTCAGCCCCTGAGAAAAAGCCCGCACAGCAACAAAGCCCAACACAACACAGCCAAAAATAAATAAATGATAATATGAAAAAAAACTCTAAGAAAAGAATGCTTCCTGAAATCTCACCGATGACAGCACAGCTGACTGCAATCTATTAACAGATGGTCTATAAAACGACAGCGTACCATGCAGTAGTCAGAATAAATGAAGCAGAGTTCATTCAAACACACGCGTATTTCTCAAATACATAATATTAAGTACACAAAGAAAAAAGGAGATCAACACAACCACCACCACATATATACAAAATAGCACACGGCAGGGGGCTGGGAGAGTGTACACGACACACACCTGAGTGGGGCCGGAAGAGGACCAGGATGCAGAGGTGAAGGGGGGGAAAGGCAAGAGGGGAAAGTGAGATGACACCCAACAAAAGAAGGGCCCTGCTCAGAGAGTAACCGTGTGCCACAGTCTCAGCAATATGACCGACTCATGTCTGTGCATCTAAGGCCCCAAAGGAAAAGGGATGGAGGTGGGGGGCGGGGGTGACAAAGGCCCCGGGCACCGGCATGTAATAGCAAATGGACTCAAGATGCAGTCTGAAAGGGAAGTAAGAGTGATTCTGGAGACAGAGCAGCTGTTAACTTCAAAATTCCCCAGAAAACACAGGACCAGATGAACACAACTGACCCTACTCACAAAACAGCCGAACACTGCCTTGTGTACATAGCTGCGGACAGGGCGACACGCACACGGCGCCTCCCACGGGACCACCACGCTCAGCACCACCTGCGGCCCAGCGCGCCCCTGCTGTCTCCTGAGGCTGGAAGCCCGGCCCTTTGTCAGACGGCACCTCCTTGGCTTCCTGACATGCCAGGCCTGAAAATAAGGCCTGAGGGAAGGGACTGGGTGGGCTGGCGGTCAAGCTCGACCAAAACAAGACATGTGCCTGAATACACTCCAGCCACCCAGCACCTGTATTTATTATTTATACATGTTTACTTGTTTAATTTAAGACGTACTATTCAGCTTTATATAAGACCCTGATACAATCCCTAGCTCACAGATACTATTTACTTATAAATTTGGCATTCCACGAACTGTTTAATAATAACACGAAATTCAGTTATGACAACAACTTCAAGATCCACTGAGCCAGAGCCCTCTGTGGGGAGTCTACCAGCCACTGTCCACACTGCCGGCTCAAGTGTCTTGTCATGGAATTCCCTCGCGTGTGCTGAAAACCATCACTAAGAATTCAAACTGACACTGGTGTCATTCAAACAAGTATAACCTCTTTCCCCACACACACACACACAAAAGCTAGAAAAGGTGCTATTATCAAAGCATATCTACTTGGAACAGTAAAAGCCAGCAGGCACACCCAGGGAAAGCATTTCTGGCCCTCAGGGTGAATTGAGAACCCAGCATGCCAGGCTTCCCTGTTCTTCCCTATCTCCCAGAGCTTGCTCAAATTCATGTCCATTGCATCGGTGATGCCTTCCAACCATCTCACCCTCTGTCCCCCGCTTCTCCTCCCGCCCTCAATCTTTTCCAGCATCAGGGTCTTTTGCAATGAGTCAGCTCTTTGCATCAGGTGGCCAAAGTGTTGGAGCTTCAGCTTCAGCATCAGTCCTTTCAATGAATATCCAGGGTAGATTTCCTCAGCAATTTTCCAAACCCCAGCTCTAAGCTCATCTGTTGGCTATTCAAGGAAGCCCTTACACCACCTTAGGTCTTCACAGCTAAAGGTCAGATAATTTCTAAAGTCTCTTCTAACTCAACATTCTATCATGTCTAATCACTTTTATCCACACTTCTGAGGACATTACTAGATTAACACAAAACTCTAGGGAACTCCAAGTCAACCAGCACATGACAAGCACCATAGATGGTTACAGATGGGAGTAAGGGCAGCAGACTGCAATGGAAAGTACAGAGCACGCAGAACTTACTGACGCGAGTGCTAAGTTAAGGTACAGCACAGTAAACTATACCTTAGTGCAACGCGATGACACTGCAGTGCTGATTCTGTGAATGTGCGGGAGGACAGTCTCATGGCAGGAATTCAAGACTCTCTTGCAGAAACAACCACAGCACATTCCTGCCTCTAGCCAAACGCTAACTACAAAGGCAGAGTGTAGACAAAGCAATCCAGTTGCTGATGAGCGGTTGTTTGTTGTTTTTTAATTTAGAAGTGTTTTCAACACTGTAGTTAGACATTAAGTGGTAAAAAAAAAAAAGAAAAGAAAAGAAAAAAAAACTCACCAAGTTGAAAATTCGCTACACTATTTTTTTTAGTACGTTTACAAGAGTTCTCAAACACCATCCCCTGAAGATTCTAAGATTCTGTTGAAGGTTGCCAAACCCTATCATGTCAAATAATAGTCCATCCAGCAGCCCAGGATTTAAATTGAGCCTAGAACCTGTCAACATCCAACAGTGATGGCTCTGAACAGTCTCCCATCCCCACACTTTACAAATATGTTCCTACTGCAATTAACAACGTTGCATGAAATCAAGATTCTTCACTGGGACAAAGGGAAGAAATGTTGGCACTCTCAGGAATCTCTGCTCTAAAGCTTTTGTGGGGATCAAGAATGTCATCTGTTTTGTCTGAGAACACAACACACTGAAGGAAGAAGACATCCTTTCTGACTCTTCTGTCACCACGTAAGATTATCTTTAGACTCAGAACCTATTGCCACAAATTCATCAAGAAGAAGTGATTAGATATTCATGACCCTCCTGATGAAAACCACCAAAAAGTGGATGAACTTTTTAATTTAAAAAAAAAACACAGTAATTTAGTGAGCTGGTGAGAAAATAAGAAATCTGCAGAAACCAATAATCAAGTGATGGGAGAACCTGGGAGATGAGCAAATGCCAAAGACGGATTTCATGAGGAGGCACCTGCTGACACCAGTGACTCAAGTGCGCTATGCTGATGGCCTGATCAAACGGGGCACGGGGACCAGGGCTGAGGTTCAGGGCCCACTCAAGACAGGGAGCGACAGGAGACCCCCGCACCGCAAGGGAGCCAAGAGGGCTGTGTCTTCAGCAAAGGCAAAACAAGAAAAAACCCTGCACCACAAGAGGAGATGGCAAAGGAACCTGCCGGACTTGTCCTTGGCCTGGCGGCAGAAGAGATGACCAGTATCTTCCCGACAGTCATAACTACAAGCTTGCCCCCATCAAAGCCTGTGACCCGAATTCACACACACAAAATCAGGCAGGAAACGAAATTCAACGAGGTCCTGAGTGGATGGTGCCCTCAACTAGCAACCAGTGAAATTACAGACTCACTCCAGAAGACAAATTCAAGCTACCCACAAGGAGTTCCCGCAAGTAAAACTCCCAAGAGATTGAGTTCACCATCAAAAATCACACATACACACAAAAGCAGAAAAACAAAGCACCACGTATAAAAACCAGTGAAAACACAGACAGAAGAATTAGACTCAAGATGCTAAATATCAGAAATATTTCAGACATGACATAAAGCAAATGGTTGGTATATACAAAGAAACAGCAAAAGCCTGATTATAAGAATAAACGTGAGGATTTAAAGCCTAAGATAATTCGTTTTTAAAGAATCAAATAAAACTTCCAAATCTGAAAATTATAATTAAAAGTAAAAAACTCAATGGTAATTATGGAGACAGTTTAAAAAAAAACCTTCGGTACGCTAGCCACCTGATATGAAGAGCCAACTCACTGGAAAAGACCCTGGATGCTGGGAACGACTGACGGCAGGAGGAGGAGGAGACGACGGGGGATGAGATGGTTGGATGGCATCACTGACTCAATGGACGTGCGTGTGAGCAAGCTCCGGGAGTTGGTGATGGACAGGGAAGCCTGGCGTGCTGCCATCCATGGGGTCACGAAGAGTCAGACACGACTGAGCAACTTAACACCACCACCCAGGCCTAGTCTAATTCTTAGAAAACTGAGAGTTTCACCGAAAATGAACCACCCACACTTGTGAAAGAAGAGGAAGTAGAAACTACAAGGATACCTTCTGTTTACTAATAAAGATACTATGTTTTGAGGACACACCTGCAAATAGGAAAAAAGAAAACCAGTTCGGAGATGGCTCTTCTGAAGAACAATGTTTACACAGTCAACCATGGAAAACACATCTGACTGCCCTGCATTCTGCCATTATGAGAAACAAACACACAAAAGCAAAGTGACACCCAGAAATGTTTTCAAGGAAGTAAATTAAGGCCACCTCTTCTACCATCTAAAGGTCGACTATGATTAAAAAATGGTTATGTGTAAAGATGTATTTGGAAAAGCTAATTATGTTCAGTACACACTATTTAAGAAAATAGCAAGCTTTTTATACATTTTAGCAAGAAATAAAAAGTGATGAAAACATAAAAGATGAACA